GTTTTGCAAGAGGGCAACTGCCTCTGGTGACTCATCCCCCCCCTGCTCCCCCACCTTGAGTGCACAAGGTCTCTTTTGAGCCAGTGGAGGTCTGGAGTCCAATGAACGACCAGAGTTCACCATACGCGGAGAAAAGGTGACATTCAAACGGGGACTCTGCAAACCGGCCAGATAATGACTGTGAGAAGTCAGTAGCACGGCTGTAGATCGACCCCAGTTATGATGTTGGATTTGGACTGATATTTACGCTCGTACATTGTTGAGGAGGTGTAAGGCTGAGCCTACAAATCGTTTTCTACTGGATATATTTACTAAGTTCTGTACTGTTTTATACGTTTAGCGATTGTGTTTACCCCTTCGGACTTAATTGCCCCATTTTTGTTTTAAAATGCCAATCGGTGCTTCCTCTACAAGACTTTGTGTGCGCAAATTGTTTTCAGATCACTGCTGATGAGTAATGATATAATACCTAGTGAGAACCTGTCTTCAAAGTTGAAACTGAAGTCCTTGTGGACCCCATGAAGCTGAGAATAGCACAAGAATTGTAAGATCATAAGTGGGTTTTAAACAGCCTGAGTTTCAGAAATAGCTACTTCTCAAGCGACTAGCACGGTAAGCTTAACTCGTCTTCGAAATCAATCAAAAAATTCCGTTTGAGTCGTACAAATATGTACTGCAGCTGAAAGACCTGACGTGCTTTATAAGAGCCGTGACAAAGTCTAAATATTATTTTAGGTGTGGGTGGAAACCCATGTTGCAAGGTCTCCTAACGTATATTGTTTTTCAAGACCTTAATCTGGTAATTTCCAATAAAACTTCATTTCCTTCAAAGCGGATATTAATTGGGTTTTTCTTTGATCTCCTATACAACTGGTTACCTTTCTAAGCGTCTCTGAGAGTAATGGTGTAAGGTTGTAATACTTCAAGAGTGATTTTCCCCTCCGTGATCTTGCCGGAGGTGACTTGTAAAGCCTTTATTCAAAATCAATATACCAAGGATTGTGGAAAGAATGGAGTGCCTGTTCCACACTTACAAGTATGGCACTCTCAACTCCATTTCCAGGTGTTTGCACACAATGAGACCTGCTTTCCCATCTTCAGGTTAACAACGTTCGCGCATTCTGAAGTAGAGATCGGAGGCAGAAAGTAGCACCCGTAACACATCAGGCTGGCGAACTCCATGCCCACAAGTCTTTGATTATCGTTCCAGTTTGGTATGGTACCCGATAGACACTGGCGCCAAAGATCTTGCATTTAGAAGCAGTGTCTATGTCCCATTGAGTGACTTCCACTCAACCGGAAGCGACCGAGCGCATTACCGCAGAACTAGGCGTCGGAATTGCACACCTTCTCGGCGCTAAAATGCGCAGTCGGGTCATGAGAATCAAGGACCGATTAAGTCCCCGTGAGCAGTCGTGCGTAGTGTATCGCATACCATGTCCAAAGTGTACGCGAAATTACACAGGACGAACTGGACGCATGCTTGGTTCGTGCCTACACGAACACAAGCTGG